CTTCTCCTCCTACGACTGCTCCTCCTACGACTGCTCCTCCTACAACTACTCCTACGATTACTCCTAGGACTATTCCTACGACTGCTCCTCCTACGACTACGACAATTCCTCCTACGACAGCTCCTCCTACGACTATACCCCTCCTACGACTACTGCTCCTACAACTACTCCTCCTATGACTACTCCTACGACTATACTCCTCCTACAACTACTGCCCCTACAACTACTCCTCCTATGACTACTCCTACGACTAGTCCTCCTACGACAACTCCTCCTAAGACTACCTCCTACGACTACTGCCCCTACGACTACTCCTCCTATGACTACTCCTACGACTAGTCCTCCTACGACAACTCCTCCTACGACTACTGCTCCTACGACTACTGCTCCTACAACTACTCCTACGACTAGTCCTCCTACGACAACTCCTCCTACGATTACTCCTCCTATGACCACTCCTACGACTAGTCCTCCTACGATTACTCCTCCTTAACCCGCCGCGCCGCCCGAGGAGTCCTTCCGAGAAACGCGAGAAGGACGCGCTCTCCCTCACTCCCTCCCTCCCTTCATTTCCAACTCGGTTCGCTCTTTCCCTAATTCGCTCCCTTCCTCCCTCGCTTCCTCTCTGCCAAATTCGCTCTCTAACTCGCTCGCTCCATCCCTCACTTACTCACTCCCTCCCTCCTTCCCACATTTACTCGCTCCCTTCATCCCTCCATCCTTCCCTCCCTCACTTAATCAGTCAGTCAGTCAGTCAGTCAGTCAGTCAGTCTGTCTGTCTGTCTGTCTGTCTGTCTGTCAGTCAGTCAGTCAGTCAGTCAGTCCCTCCCTCCCTCTCTTCCTAAGACGCTCCCTAACTTACCCGTCCCTAACTCACTTGCTCTCTCTCTCCCTCCCTCACTCCCTCATTCGCTCTTTCCCTCACTCGCTAACTCTCTCTCTCTTCTTCACTCGTAAACACACCGCATGATTCTAAGCTTATGAATTGGACGGGTAGGAGGGAGGAGGAGGAGGAGGAGGGGGGGGGGATAGGGACGAAGATGAGGGAGGAGAGGAGGAGGAGGAGGAGGAGGAGGAGGAGGAGGAGGAGGAGGAGGTTAGGGGGACGAAGGATGAGGGGAGGAGGAGGGAAGAGGAGAGAGAGGAGGAGGAGGGAAGAGGAAGAGGAGAGAAGGAGAAGAGGAGAAGTAGGTGAAGGAAGAGGAGAATGGTAGGATGAAGAAGAGGAGAGAGGAGGGATATATCGTATAAAACTGATCGGTCGAGATAAGAATTTCTGGTGGAACTAACGAGGTCTACATATTCACCGCAAAGAATAACCGCAATAACCTCAAACAACATTTGATTCTCTGCTTCTAAAAACTATGTCTAAAGGATTCAACACACACACACACACACACACACACACCACACACACCCACCACACCCACCCCCACACTTACCCCCACCCAAACCCACACACCCCACACTTACCCCCCACACCCACACCCACACACCCACACTTACCCCCCCTACCCCCACCCACCCCACACAAACAAGTACACACACCACATCCACACTTCCCACCCCCACCCACCCCCCACACAAACAAGTACACACACCACACCCACACTTACCCCCCCCCGACACCCCCCCTCCACACCCCACACCCACACACCCACACACCCCACCCCACCCAACCCACACACCACACACACACACCCCCAACCCCAACCACCCACACACACCCACCACACACAAACAAGTACACACACCACATCCACCGCATCGCTCCTACACTTAAGCGCAGCCAAAGAACAGCCATTACTCCCAGTATCTTTTTAAAAGTGTATCATCCCGGTTACACGACCATCTGTTTCTCGTCCAGAAGAATTATGAAAATATCGACAAGGTCAAGGCACTCTGAGGCTTCAATTGTTTCGAAACTTGGGCACCGCAGGGCCTCTGTCTGCTCTTCATAACGTCTATATAATATAACGTCAACATATATTATAACGTCAACTTATAGTATAACGTCAACATATAATACAACGTCAAAATATAACGTCAACATATACTATATCGTCTATATAATATATAACGCCAACATATAATACGTCAAAATATAATATTAACATCAAATAAATATAACGTCAACATATATTACAACGTCAAAATATAATACAAGGTCAACATATAATATAACGTCAACAATAAAACGTACAACGTCAAAATATAATACGTAAATATAATAATAACGTCAACATTAATAATAACGTCAAATATAATATAACAACATATAATATAACGTCTATATAATATATAGCGTCATAACGTCCATAAAATTTAACTAAATATGTATGATTAAAAGCCTGTTTTCCGTGTTTTTTTATCAGCTGATTCGGGAGAGCTCGAATACCATTCTAATAAAGGTAGTAATACCGATAATTACTACTACTACTACTACTACTACTACTACTACTAATAATAAAATAATAATAATGATGATAATGATATAATAATAATAATAATAATAATAATAATAATAATAATAATAATAATAATAATAATAATAATTATAATAATAATAATAATAATAATAATTATTATTATTATTATATTAATAATAAAAATGATAACAGCAATAATAATAATTTAAACAACAATAACAATAACAACAATAATAATAACGATATAACAACAGCAACAATAATCACGCTGACAACAATAACAAGAACAACAATAATATTAAGAACAAAAAAAGCTGATAAAAACAACAACAAAAATAAACACACGCTATCAGCTGTTTCCTAAAAAATCCCCCAAAGACCGACACAGCAGCACGCTTCAACATGACAACGCCCCCCCCCGCCCCCCCCCCCCCTCCACAACCTGATAAAAGACCCCGCCCCTCCTTGGCCAAACACCTTAATGAACTTGGCCCCGCTTACCCCCCCCCCCCTTCCTCCTCCACATCTGGAACATGGCCACGCCCCCCTCCTCCTCTACACCTGGACATGGCCACACCCATGGCCACCCCCCTCTCTCCTCCACACCTGAAACATGCCACATGGCCACGCCCCCTCCTCTCCTCCACATCTGGAACATGGCCACGCCCCCTCTCCTGCACACCTGAAACACGGCCACGCCCCTCCTCCTCCTCCAACACAAGAAACAAGGCCACGCCCCTCCTCCTCTCCTCCACACCTGAAACTCCACACACTGAAACATGGCCACGCCCCCCCCCTTTCCTCCTCCACACCCTGAAACATGGCCACGCCCCCCCTTTCCTCCTCCACACCTGAAACATGGCCACGCCCCCTTTCCTCCTCCACACCTGAAACATGGCCACGCCCCCCTCCTCTCCTCCACACCTGAAACACGGCCACGCCCTCCTCCTCCTCCAACACAAGAAACATGTCCTCCCCCCCCCTCCCCCCCAAGAGGCCCAACAACAGAACGCGAGCCACGCCCCCCCCCCACCACGCCCCACGTAAGCCCCAACCCATCACGATCCCGCCTGGAGTTGCGAGAAAATGGGAGAGCGCGCGCGGGCAGCCAAGCGGAGTACTTGAGCGCGCGTTCTCTTAAAAAGGTCAATTGCGAGGCGCAACAGCTGGGAATGCCGGCCTTGGGGAGACGGTGTTGATTTGGCGTTTTGTGATGGAACGTGAACTCGGGGCAAAACAAGGGCGAGCGCGCGCGCCGGCTATTTAGACACACATGCACGCACGCACATACACACGCACGCGGGCGCACACACACACACAGACACAGCACACGCACACACACACACACACACACACACAAACAAACACACACACACGCAATATATCAAAAAAAAGAAAAAAGAAAAAAAAAAGAAAAAAAAAAAGATATATAACATATATATATATATATATATATATATATATATATATATATATATATATATATACATATATATACACGAATACATGCGATCAAATTCTGTTGCAGCTGCGATTCGTTCTCCAAGATGAAAAAAAAAATAAATGAAAACCTGGACAACATCCCCAAGAAGAAAATATCAAATACCCGATTCTGGTTTTCCTCAGCCAGCTCCCACACCTCTCTTAAAACACGAATCTCAACGTCACTTACCGAAATTCCACTCACAATTTTATACAAAAAAAAAAAAAAAAATAAGAAGAAGAACTAAATAAAAAAAAAAAAGGGGGGGGGGGGAAAACGACAGTTGATAAGGTAATAACTAACCTGAAAAATGATATATATATTTTCTTTTTAAGCCCGAGACAAAGACATAAGAGACGAGGGTTTTTCTTTGCCCGTTAATTCGTCGGGTGACATTCTCTCTCCTTCGAAGAGAGAGAGAGAGAAGAGAGAGGAGAGAGAGACGAGGAGAGGAGAGAGAGAGAGAGAGAGAGAGAGAGAGAGAGAGAGAGAGAGAGAGAGAGAGAGAGGGAGAGAGAGAGAGGAGAGAGAGGGAGAGGCGAGAGGGGAGAGAGAGAGAGAGAAGAGAGAGAGAGAGAGAGAGAGGAGAGAGAAGAGAAGAGAGAAGCGAGAAGAGAGACGAGAGAGAGAGAGAGAGAGAGAGAGAGAGAGCGAGAGCGTGACGAAGCATCAGTCGCAACGAGGCCGACAAAACACGAGGATGGAATTGATAACGGAGTCTGCCGTGAGAGAGGGAGAGGAGAGGAATAGGGGAATAGGAGAGGAGAGGAGAGGGAGAGAGAGAGGGAGGGAGGAGAGAAAGAAGAGAGAAAGAAAGAGAGAAAGAAAGAGAAGAGAGAGAGAGAGAGAGAGAGAGAGAGAGAGAGAGAGAGAGAGAGAGAGAGAGAGAGAGAGAGAGAGAGAGAGAGAGAGAGAGAGAGAGGAGTGAGAGAAGTGAGAGAGAGAGAGAGAGAGAGAGAGAGAGAGAGAGAGAGAAGAGAGAAGAGAGAGAGAGGAGAGAGAGAGAGAGAGAGGAAGAGAGAGAGAGAGATAGAGATAGACAGATAGATAGACAGACAGACAGAGACAGACAGAGACAGACAGAGACA